CAGAATATTCATATGCAGGTAACTATATTGCAGTGAAAAATGTTGAAAATTTCTTTGTATTTTTTGATGCCATTCAGGTTGCAGATGTTTCTGAAGCAGTCAGGCAGTTCGCTGATGCCTTGATGTTGTCAGGTGAGTCAGCTATTGGATCATATGGACAGAAGGCTCTTGCTGTTTTACGGATGGCCAGCAGTCGCATGGAACTTTGGAGTCGTGAAGAGATCAAGCATATTCTCCATCAACGTCAACTTGGAGTATCATTGCCTGACCGCATTGCTGAGCAGATATGCAATTGTGCTGTTGAAATGGGTATTTATTATTAACCTTAGCTTTCCTTTACAATTAAACTCTAAATTTTTTAAATCCTACCATAGACCTTGAAAGTTAAGCCTGATATTACCTGTTGATTATTTGTGCAAGTGTCAATGAGTTCTGTTTTTCCTTTGTCATTCTAGTTTAGTAACTTTGTTAAATCTGTACTTCTGGATATACCCTTGCGCAGAGACATTTTCCTCATTTGTTTTGGTTAAGGTTGTTCAACTTTTTCCTTTTCCCTACCTCTTCAAAACTGACAATTTAGTTATTGCCATGTTAAGAAGCATGCATTCTTTTATTTTTACGTGAGAAAGTTCATTTGCTTAGCTATTGCAAAGATTTGAAACTGAGTCTCTGAACTTGGCCCAGGAATCAAGAATTTGAAGTTGGTACTGACTCTGTTAAGTGCTTGTTGAACGTAGCATGCCTTCATCACTCATTATTTAGCTTTGTAGTATTTTTGCATCCATAGATATCAAGTTTTATAACCGAGTTCTTTCTCTGTAGCTAACAACCTAGGCGTGGATGCCATCTTTGTGTACACAAAGTATGGACATATGGCGTCACTCTTGTCTCGCAACCGTCCATGTCCACCCATATTTGCCTTCACTAATGACAGTGACACCCGGATGGCTCTAAATCTGCAATGGGGGGTTATTCCCTTGCTTGTTGATCTTTCGGATGATATGGAAGGCAACATCTCAAGAACCATGGGTCTTATGAAAACAAAGGGAATGGTGGAACCTCGAGATGTTGTTTTAGTGGTTTCAGACTTAACTCCAACCATCCCAAATTCGTCTGCTTTCCAGGCAATCCAGGTCAAGGAGGTTGACTAGCACCCTCGATGAGAGGCAAGTTAATGTTGGTGAGTCCAAAAGGTGAAGGAAGTGCAAGTTGGTGCTTTTCCTACCCATTTGTTTGATATTTGCTGACAATTGACCACTTATGCTGTTGAAAATGTATTGCATAAATTGTGATTGGTTGCTATATATGATCATGTTTAGATTCAAATGCTTTTGTTAGAGTGATAGATGATCATGCTATTAGGTATACACAATGAGAGCAGGAGACACATGATGAGTTTTGCATGATAATGTTGAGAAAACAGACACACACAAGCACACAATTCATGTACATAATATTCCAAATACAGAACAACCAGAAATTAAGGCAATAGATTTTTTCCAAAGACTGAAACAACCTCCTTATTCATATGCCATGAATTTTCCTTATTTACCAACAATGCAAGATACCCATTCCTCAATTTTCAGAATCTTCTTGCCACATGCATGTTCAACTCCTACAAAATATGCATATAATTTTTTCCATATAAGAAATTTGTTCTTATAGAGGAGGTATCTCAACAGGTAAGAGTGAGTTGAAGAGGTTTAATTAAGAAAAATAAGTTATGTCTCACCGTATAGCACATTATTAAATCAGATGTATCAAAATAAAAATTTTTTAGTATTGTTCCAAATACTAAACCATTACCTTGGAGAAGCAAGCATGCGCCCCGTAGAGAAAAACACGCATCTGCAAAATCAACAAAAATAGGAAGCTTTAGAAATTAGTATTGTTCAAATAAGAACATGAATTTGAAGAGCCAGCATGTAGGATATAAATGGTCATGGAGTACCTTTTTATCTGAGGCCTGGCGGAATGAGCCAATAGTCGTCCCTGAAACTAAATCTTATGCCTGGAGGCGGATGTAAGGCTTCTTTTATGTCATCTTCTTCAGCTTCTCCTTCCAAATATATCAGTAACTCCTCCACATTCCGAAGTTCAGCTTCTCTAGCCTCGTCTTTATCAATTGAATTTCCCACAACTTTCATCCAAACTGTACGGAGATGCTTCAAGTTTCCAAGATCAGCAAGGCTAAACTCTTTATCATCATTCCTATCAGCTCTAGCAATGACCCCGACTACATTTCTAAGAGAAGTCAATTTCCGGATGTTTTTTGGGTAGTGGGTCAGAGCTAAACAACCATTAGTAACAAGTATCCTCAAATTGAGTAATTTTCCTATCGACTCTGGCAAATGCTTCAGATTTAGGCATCCTGTAACACTCAAATTCTCCGAATTAAGTATGTTGTAGAGTGCTTCAGGCAGCCTTTCTACTTTTTCACTACAGGCAAAGTTTATATATCTCAAGTGCATCAATTTTCCAACTTCTTCAGCAACTTCATTACATAAACGATCAAGTCCATCGGCCGGCTAAAATCCAACGTCCTTCAGTGTCTACAATGATTAAACAAGCTATGCAATGCATCAGGAGTTAAAGCAGCCTCTCCTGTAAAAGTTACAAGTGTTCGCAATTTTTCTGCACCAGAAATGAATGTTGGAAAAGTCATCTTGTTGGAGAAATAGGGGGTTAGAAAATAGATCATTAAATCATTGGCTTCAAGACGTGCTGCAAATGCCACTTTTCTTTAGACTTATTTTGCCCCCACCATATCTGATATGCAAAAGGGGTAACCTGAAATGCCTATAAAATACAATGAAGTGCCTTATTGATCTAACCTTTGCACTAGCAAGATCAACCACTGAACCATCCTTTAGAAAGCGACAAAACAATAGTTTTTGTATAGGGATTTCTCGAGCAATAGCAATACAAAAAGAGGCGGTTTTATTTAGATATTTCTGGGTTCAAAAATACTTTACCGAAGAAGAGATAACTCCATATTTATAGGGCAAGATGTCTGTTGGAACAGACACTTCTTTTCAATTTTTATTCGTTGGAAACTTTTCTAAAAGTCATTTTGTTTGATTTGAATTCCAACTGACGTGTTTCCTTGCCTTCCAAAGTTATTCATTATCTTTAGAAACTTATCAGAATTTTATCTTTTATTTCTGACGTCAATGGTTCGAACCAAAATCGCAACTTTCCAGATTCTGGTTTTATGTAAATGGTCTGAATTATAATATGGTTCAAACCAAAGTTACAGTTTCTCAAATGCATTCTGTGTAATTGCTTTGAACCAACTTTTTGTAATTCGAATCCAAATCCTGAAAATATTTTGAAAATTCTTCAACATTCCTTCACCATTTTCAAAATAGATCAGCCCACCAATTGTTTTGGAAATCTTATGCATATATGAAGGTATCTTACGATTTGAACTTTTCAGTTAGTGAACATGTGTTGGCAAATTAATCAAAATTGCATGGTAGACTAATGCTTTGAACTAGTGATTCTAAGTGACTAATTGGGCACATGTCACACACAAGACTTCAAGCTTTCCAAAGAAGGAATTCAGCATCCACCGACACAAAAACTGGTCATGTTTCCTATATCCTCTTCAAGAGTGTTGTTGGAGTCAAGTCCCCAACTCCTAGAAGCGACACCACTTCCACTCATATAGGTAGATCCCATTAAAAGTGCCACTGCATTAAGCACTTTAATGGAAATTTGTTATAGGACCTATTAAGAGTAAAACCCAACCTCCTTTTATTTCATGCGGTTACCAAGTACTCTTCCACTTGGGATAGTATTATTAATACATTGAGTACTTCCAGTCACATTCATATGATGTACTTTACTCATTGAACTTAAGACTTGATGTTTTTATCAAGCGTTAAGTCGAGATTTCATCATGTGTAACTTTTGTCAATGGACTTGAGGCCTATCCCTCTCTTTGTCTTGTAAATTTTCCTTTTGATAATCTTTTTAATCAAGGATTCATGAAGTTAATTCACACAAGACCCTGCAAAGATTATGGTGATCACCTCATTTAAGACTAGATTGTTTCCATGTCTACATTTTATGACAACAAGTCTACTGTCATATAGACTTCTTTGTAAGCACTTGATGACATCGTATTATTTTTAGTCATCATACACATTCATATAAGAATGTCTTAGATTAATATAAACTCTTGAAAAGTGTAGACATCTCCAAGAACAAGTGCTATCACTTTTAAACAGTGCCATATAACTTTGTAATATCATGAACAAGTGGAACTCTTGCTTCCTCCACTTTCAAATTTAATTTTATTTGTTTTTCAGGTGTCAAGAACTTTTAGTCCTTATTCCTCTCACTCTTGGGATTGTTCCCACCATTTTAAATATTGTTGTCAATTTTATGACATCAATATACTTCATGAGAGACCTATCATGACAAATTTTGATTTATTAAAAAAAAATGGTTCAATTCATATAAATACGATTTGAACCAAAGTCCTAATACTTTTTGATTTTTTTGTGTAATTGATTTGAATCATCTTTGAGTGATTTGAACCAAAATTCTAGAACAACTCAAATCATTAGATTCATTTTCCATGACCAAGAGCTATTCACTCTTACTAATTACAGGATTCTTTAAATCCATATTTCTTTATCTTTTGGATCATTTTTCCAAGCTTCCAAATAATGAATCAAGTGCACAAGGTTGCACTAGTTTCTACATATTATCTCATTAAGAGATAGCATCTAAACAAGGATTTAAAATCCTGCATGCCTTATCAAAACTGAGAGCCTTTTTACTTGGCCTCTTTTCTCTTAGTTTATATTAAAACTAAGATCATCAGTTGGATCTCCAAATGGGTTTGCCAAATCCCATTTCAATATTTCTTTCTTTAACATGGCAAAATAGTCATCGTGAGACTTGATTCTCACTTGTTTCAATTTACATATACTTATATATAATGTTACAAGCATAAATAAGAGGCATTAAAAGTAACAAGTAGAAATATCCTTTAAGCAACCTTTCATTAATGAAACATGACTAGATTCATTAGCCTCTTATATATCCACAAGTCCCATGTTAAAAATAGCAAGCATGTTTAACACAAGTATAAAACTCAATGATTTTAACTAAAGCTGTCATACACATAAACATGCTTATAACATAATCCAAGTAAAGGAAATCTCATTGACTTTAATAAGCCTTAAGCAAACCTTAATAAGATCATGTCCAGAAGTAAGATATACTACTTAAACTCCATAAAGCTTCATAAGTATTCACTAAAGAATAGTAAATAATCATTACTAAATGAAAAGAAAAACAAAACTTCATTTGTATCACATTAGTAATCTCTAAACCAAGGCACAATCATGCACTCAAAACATGATCATATTCAAATTCATAAAAAGAATTGTGTCTCTTATATCTTCCTTCTCACAGCCAAGAACCATTCCTTCTCACAGCCAAGAACCATGCTATCAAGTTTGAGACTTATTTAATCTCCAAATGGGATTTAAAGACCCATTTTATTTCTTTTGCCTCATTGTGCCAAATGACTTTTAATTATGAATCTTTACATTGTCATTTACATATTTGATAACTTCTTTGAAGCCATTCTCCAAGAGATGTTTTCTCCTTGTATATAATTAATTAAACATTAACAAGAGAACTATCACATATGCATGAACAGGCCATGATATAAATGATGCATGTGCCAAAACTCTGAAAAATTCATGATTAATGAAACTGTAATCTCAATTTCTTACTAATATCAGAATGTATTCTTTTATTCTATCATTTTATTGGTTTTCGTACCTGTTTCAATATTGCAGTGAATCTCAATTCATCTCCATTTCATATCCTTTTTAGACTTGGAAATGTCAATTGCTTCCTTGATGAATAGAATCATGTTTCCATTGTTTCATCTTTCATGAAATTGATTTCCTTGCTTTACTGTCCAGCATGCAGCATCCTCCATTAAAACATCTACTCTTTGGTGGTTTTGTAGATGAAAATCAGGTGAGATCTTTTATCCTCTATATTGCTTTTGCATCCAATGATTGATTAATCCATCATCACTAATCAATCATCGATCAATCACACAATTGCTTTTGATTACTTTTATATCCGATCATTGATTGACCCATCATCGCTCAGCGATTAACCATCACATGATGCTAATCATACCAAAAAACCCTTTTTTCTTTTCTTTTGCCACTATTGCATGCCAAATCTTCTTGGTTTCACATGCATTTTAAACACAAGTTTCTTCTCAGTTATCCAGTAAGCCATGATCTCAAAAGACTAGGAGAAATAAGCCTAAAGATTGTTGGAGAAATAGAGGGTTAGAAAATAGATCATTAGATTGTTGGCTTTAAGACGTGCTACAAATGCTACTTTCCTTTAGGCTTATTTCGCCCCCACAAATCTAGTATGCAAAAGGGGTAACCCGAAATGCCCATAGGATACAATGAAACACCTTGTTGATCTAACCTTTGCACTAGTAAGATCAACCACTGAACCATCCTTTGGAGAGTGACAAAACAGTAGTTTTTGTATAGGGATTTCTCGAGCAATCGCAATACAAAAATGGGCTGTTTTATTTAGATATTTATGGGTTCAAAAAGACTTTATTGAAGAAGAGATAACTCCATATTTATAGGGCAAGATGTCTGTTGGAATAGACACTTCTTTTCAAGATGTCTGTTGGGAGCACACACTTCTTTTCAATTTTTATCTGTTGGAAACTCTTCCAAAAGTTATTTGGTTTGATTTGAATTCCAATTGACGTGTTTCCTTGCCTTCCAAAGTTATTCACTCTCTTCAGAAACTTATCAGAATTTTATCTTTTATTTCTAATGTAAATGTTTTGAACCACATTTATATGATTTGAACCAAAATTGTAACTTTTCGGATTCTGGTTTTACATAAATGGTTTGAACCATATTTGAATCAACTCTTTGTGGTTCGAACCCAAATCCTGGACATATTTTGAAAATTCTTCAACACATCCTTCTATTAACCATAACTAACAAGTGATGATGTATTGTCAAGTTTGCACTTAAATGATCAAGCTGCACAACCTCCACAGCAAACTCATCCTCTGCCAATATTTATCGAAGTCATGTACCACATCATGAATCTTAAAAGTAAAAATGTATCCATTCCAAATTCCAAAATATTGAAAGAAAAAGCAGGCTACCAAGATGTTAAAGTACTCAAGCCTTACTGACTCCAAATCTACTTTAGGATCAGAGCCTAAAAAACCTTGTGCCAGCTAATGTGATGCTACGTGATGATACCAATGTAGAAAATCTTTAGAGAAAGTACACAGTACAAGAAGCACCGTCTTACAGGATGTGACAAATTATAATAACTCAGTACTAAATGAGCAAAAATTTCCTTTTGTGCCAAATTTAGTTTCCATATTTCACTATCCAACATAGTTAGCCATTCTCCCTTAGTACTTCTAAACTGTAAGAGACTTCCTAAAACTTTGGTAGCAAGAGGTAAGCCTTTACATCTTTTTGCAATTTTCCTACCAATTTTCTCCAAATCTTCTCGACTTTTCATCTTGTCCTTTCCTTTGAATGCTATATCTCTGAGTATTGACCAACACTCCTCATCACCCAATTTCTCTAGATGAATGATTTGGTAGTTAGAGGACCCCATTATTGATGCAACTTTAAGATCCCAAGTAGACATTAAAATTCTACTTCTTACAGCACCAAGATCAAATGTGACTTTAGTGAATCCCACATCTCACCTTTATCGGCCCAAACATCATCTAAAACAAGAAGATATTTCTTTCCTTTGATAGATCTAGAAATCCTTCCTAAAAGAAACTCCAATGGATCTGATTTTAGGCCATATGCTGCACTACCACTAAGGTTTTCAAGCCCTTGAATGATTGCTTTTGCAACTCTTTTCTCGTTAAAAGAATTAGAAACACAAACCCATATTACACTCTCAAAATGCTTTTTTACATCAGGATCATTGCCCACCAGTTGTGCTAGAGCTGTCTTTCCTAACCCACCCATCCCTACCATGGAGATGATTTGAATTAGTTTGCCAGCCTCCCTCTTCACTATTCCCTCCCTAAACTTTTGGAGTCAATCGTTGAATACCCAATCTCAACTCAAGCTAAGGTAATACCATAGTGAAGCATTGTTTATACTGTGAAGGAAGAGATTACAAGATATTCCTATGCACGTACCATATTCTAGTGAAAAATTTTAAAAATTTCTTTGTATTATTTAAGGCAAGCTGGTTGTAGATTTTACTGAAGTAGTTAGACAGTTTGTTGATGCGTAGATGTTGTTAGGTGCGTCAGCTATTGGATCATATGGATAAAAGGCTTTTGTTGTTTTACGGGTGGCCAGTGGTCACATGGAACTTTGGTGTGATGAGGAAAACAAGCATATTCTCCATCAACGTCAACTTGGAGTATCATTTCCTGACTACATTGCTAAGCAGATCTGCAATTGTGCTGTTGAAATGGGTATTTATTATTATCCTTAGCTTTCCTTTATAATTAAACTCTAAAATTTTTAAATCCTATCATAAACCTTGAAAGTTAAGCCTGATTTTTCCTGTTGATTATTAGTGCAAGGAAAGTGTCAATGAGTTATGTTTCTGCTTTCTGCTTTGTCATTCTAATACTTAAATTTGCCATAATGAGAGTACATAGTGTTGTTTAGCACTTGAAAGAGGCATGATTTTCTGGTGATTTTATTGGATGTAATTGGGATGGCATTTAGCTCTAAGAAAGACAAATTCCATTTTTATAGCTGAAACCTTGAGAAAGAGCTTGTTCTAGTTTAGTAACTTGGTTAAATCTAGACTTTTGGAGATATCCTTGCACAGAAACATTTACCTCATTTGTTTTGGTTAAGGTTGTTCAACATTTTCTTTTTCCCTCTAGTTTTAAAATTAAAACGAAAAATTAGTTATTGCCATATTAAGAAGCATGCATTCTTTTATTGTTACATGGGAAAGTTCGTTTGCTTAGCTATTACAAAGATGTGAAGCTGAGTCTCCGAACTTGACCTAGGAATCAAGCCTTTTAAGTTACTATTGACTATGTTAAGTGCTTGTTGAACATGGCATGTATTTGTCACTCATTATTTAGCTTTGTAGTAATTTTGCATCCATTGATGTGTCAAGTTTTATAACGGTGTGCCTTGTCTATAGCTAACAACCTAGGCATGGATGCCGCTTTTGTGTACGCAAAGTATGGACATATGGCATCAATCTTGTCTCGCAACAGTCCATATCCACCCATATTTGCCTTCACTAATAATAGTGACACCCGAATGGCTCTAAATCTGTGATGGGGGGCTATTCCCTTGCTTGTTGATCTTTCAGATGATATGGAGGGTAACATCTCTAGAACCATGGATCTTATGAAAATAGAGAATGGTGAAACCTCAAGATGCTGTTTTGGTGGTTTCAGACTTAACTCCAACCATCCCAAATCCAACTGGTTTCTAGGCAATCCAGGTCTAGAAGTTTGACTAGCACTCTCCATGAGAGGCAAGTTGATGTTACTGAGTCTAGAAGGTGAAGGAAGTGCATCTTTATGCCTTTCCTATCCATTTGTTTGGTATTAGATGACAACTGACCATTTATACTGTTGAAATTATATTGCATAAATTGTGCTTGGTTGCTATATATGATCTCGTTTAAATTCAAATGTGTTGGAGTTGTGGTGTTAAAGCTACACAAGTAGCAGCAAATGAAAAGAAGGGAGAGCTGCAACAACAACACGGTAACAGCAAAGTGTAGCGAGCTAAGCTATAAATATTAATGAAATGAGGCTATAATGAATAGCAAATGAAAGGCTGCAAAGAAGCAGCAAAGTACAACAACATGGAGCTGCACAAATGGCAGCAAATCTTTTAATGTAATCTTGCATTAAATGTTTGGTAGATTTTCTTATATTCGGTAAATATTGGATGAGAAAATTACTATTAATGTATTAAGAGATTTCTGCTATATAATGGCAGAAGATGAATGAAAAAAATGGGTTCTGACCTCACCAAATGAGGTAACTCCACGGTGTCTCTCTCCTTCTCTTCCAAGTCCTTTCTCAAACACTTTTTTTACCATAAAAAATTCAACATGTTATCAGAGCTTTAATGATCTTGGGGACCTCTAAGAGTGATTTTGAGAGGACACCACCAAAAAAACCAAAAAGAAATACCCACCTTTCTAAATGGATTCTAGTAGGTTTTGTTGTGAATCCCTCTTCCATTTTTAGCCAAATCACTAAGCAAGTGATGAAGGCATATGGTAGGCCCACTATAGCTCAAGATCAAGCATAGGAAGGACGTGGTGTGCAGAGGCAAGCTAGACCAACGAATAGAAGGTGTTCATAGATTCTACAGCCAACAGTCCAAAGGGAAAAATAATGTATGTCAAGGGTGCAACTTGAGAAAGGAAGAAAACTCAGAGCATGCATCAAATCCTGTTCACCAAAAGTTGAATTTGATCTATGATCCTGAGGAAGTTGTAGATTCGAAGATAAAAGCTGAGCAACTTACAGGAAAGCTCAACAAAGCTCCAACAAATTTGTTAAAGCAGCAAATCTAAGCAAGATGAAGCTGCAGCCTTGAAAGAGGGGCTGAGCTACTAAAGGAGATGGCCTTAGTAGCAACAACAAATTAAAACCAAAGCATAAAGAAATGCAAATGGCAAATTCCAAATGCTTAGGTAAATTTCTTGTTTCCCGCAGCTTTAACACCAAGGAGGAGTGTTGGAGTTGTGGTGTCAAAACTGCACAAGTAGTAGCAAATGAAAAGAAGGGAGAGTTGTACCAACAGCATGGCAACAGCAAAGCGCAGCAAGCTAAGTTGTAAATATTGATGAAATGGCATCGTAATGAGTAGCAAATGAAATGCAAATGCAAATGCAAATGAAAGGCTTGCAAAGTAATAGCAAAGTACAGCAACATGGAGCCGCACAAATGGCAGCAAATCTTTTAATGTAATCTTGCATTAAATGTTTGATAGATTTTCTTGTATTCGGTAAATATTAGGTGAGAGAATTACTCTTAATGTATTAAGAGATTTCTACTATATAATGGCAAAAGATGAATGAAAAAAATGGGTTCCAACCTCACAAAATTAGGTAACTCCACAGTGTCTTTCTCTTTCTCCTCCAAGTCCTCTTTCAAATCCTTTTTTTACCACCAAAAATTCAACAAAATGCTTATGTTAGAGTGATAGATGATCATGTTATCAAGCATACAAAAGGAGAGTAGGAGATACACAATGAGTTTTGCATAATAATGTTAAGAAAATAGACACACACAGGCACACAATTCTTGTACATAATATTCCAAATACAAAACAACCAGAAATTAAGACAACAGATTTTCTCTTCAAAGACCGGAACAGCTTCCTTATTCACCAACAATAGAGGAAACTTCTCCCTCAACTTTCAGAATCCTCTTGCCACGTGCATGTTCAACTCCTACAAAATGTGCATATGGTTTTTCCATATAAGAAATTTGTTCTTATAGAAGAGTATCTCAACTTAGTAAGAGCTAAGAGGAAGGGATCTAAGAAATATAATTAAGTTACCTCTTGTTATATGGAACATTATTATATTAGATGCATAAAAAAGAAACGAATTTTAGTATTGTTCCAAATACTAAACCATTACCTTGGGAGAACCTAACAGTGTAAATGCTTGAGTATGTATTCTACTCTATTTAACAAAATTCATTTTTGCCTTTAAAAAAAAAAAAAAAAACTCATTACCTTAGGGAAGCAAGGATGCGCCCTGCAGAGAAAATGGCATGCAATTGCAAAGCAAAGTCAACAAAAATATGAGGCTTTAAAAATCAGTGATGTTTGAATAAAAACATGAATTTGGAGAGACGGAATATAGGATTAATGGTAATGGAGTACCTCTATCTCAATAGTCAGGAGCATAGAACCATCCACGCGGATTGAGCCAATAGTTGTCGCTGAAACCAAATATTATGCCTGGAGGCAGGTTTAAGGCTTCAATTATGTCATCTTCCTCAACTTCTCCAGCCAAATGTATCCATAACTCCACCACATTCTGAAGTCCAGCTTTTCTAGCCTCCTCCATATCAATTGAATTTCCCACAACTTTCATCCAAACCCTACAAAGATGCTTCAAGCTTCCGAGGTCAGCAATGCTAAATTCTTTACCATCATTCCTATCAGCTTGAGCAATGACCCCTATCAAAGTTCTAAGAGAAGTCAATTTCCCGATGCCTTTTGGGTAGTGAGTCAGAGCAAAACAACCATTGGTAACAAGAAACCTCAAATTGAGTAATTTTCCTATCGACTCTGGCAAATGCTTCAAATTTCGGCATCCTTTTAGATCCAGACACTCCAAATTGAGTATATTGCACAGTTCTTCAGGCAACCTTTCTAATTTTTCACTATTAGCTAAATTTATATATCTCAAATGCATCAATTTCCCAACTTCTTGAGGAACTTCATTACATAAATGATCAGGTCCATCGGGCCAGTTAAAATCCAATAGCCTTAAGCGTCTGCAATGATTAAACAAGTTACGCAATGCATCACAAGTCAAAGCATCCTTTCCCATATAAGTTACAAGAGTTCGCAATTTTTCTGCACCAGAAATGGATGTAGGAAAAGTCATCCTTTTATCAGCCGTCACTAACAAGTGACGATGTTTTGCTGAGTTTATACTCAAATGATCAGACTGCACAATCTCCATAGCAAACTCATTCTCCGCCAAATATTTACCAAAGTCATGTACCACATCATGCATCTTGAAACAAAAAATGTATCCACCCCTGATTCCAAAATCTTGAAAGAAAGAGTGGGCTACTAGGGTGTTAAAGTACTCTAACCCTATTGACTCCAAATCTGCATTAGGATCAGAGCCTAAAAAACCCTGTGCCAGCCAATGTGATGTTATGTGATGATACCAATATACATAATCTTTAGGGAAAAGTACACAGTACAAGAAGCACCGCCTTACAGAATGGGGCAAATCATAATAACTCAACAGTAAAGGAGCAAAAATTTCCTTTTGTGCCAAATTTAGTTTCCATATTTCACTATCCAAGATAGTTAGCCACTCTCCTTTAGTACTTCTAGACTGTAAGAGACTTCCTAAAACTTTGGCAACAAGAGGTAAGCCTTTACATCTTTTTGCAATTTTCCTCCCAATTTCCTCCAAATCTTCTCGACTCTTCATCTGGTCCTTTCCTCTGAATGCTATATCTCTGAGTATTGACCAACACTCCTCGTCACCCAATTTCTTTAGGTGAATGATTTGTGAGTCAGAGGACCCCACCATTGATGCAACATTAAGATCCCGAGTAGTCACTAAAATTTTACTTCCTGCAGCACCAAGATTGAATGTAACTTTTAGTGAATCCCACCTCTGACCTCCATCGGCCCAAACATCATCTAAAACAAGAAGATATTTCTTTCCTTCGATAGATTTAGAAATCCTTCCTAAAAGGACCTCCAATGGATCTGATTCTAGGCCGTTTGCTGCAGGGCCACTAAGCTTTTCAAGCCCTTGAATGATTGCCTTTGCAACTCTTTTCTCATCAAAAGAATCAGAAACACAAACCCATGCTACATTCTCAAAATGTTGTTTAACATTAGGGTCATTGTACACCAATTGTGCCAGAGCTGTTTTTCCCAGCCCACCCATCCCCACTATAGAGAAGGTTTGAATTAGTTTCCCAGCCTCCACTTCACTATTCCCTCCCAACAAATAACTCAATATTTCTCTCTTCACCCCATCCCGACCACATAGTTTTGACACATCAACAAAAGATGAAGTTTCTGGACGTTTTGGAAGTTCAATCTTCCTACTTTCCAATTGATACTTATCTTTCTCCTTTACAATCTCATCTATTCTTCTATTGATTTCCTTTATGTTCACAGCAACTTCACGACGACTACTTAGCCGACGAAAAGAAAAGCATGAAATAAAATTGCGGAGTAGCAGCACCTTCCCCTGACGATTAGCAGCATCTTCGGTTCCTTTCACTTCTAGCTCTGCTCTAGTTTTCCACTCATCCAATGCATCCTCCATGTCATACGCAGCTTCTTTGAGCCTATCCAGCCATTTCTTGACAAGTTCATCGGTTGCTTTCTTCTCCTTAGCGTGTGCAAGCACGCTCAGGACAAGATCAAGATTTCTTTCAAGCTTTTCCACTTCTTCCGTAACACCGACAAGCAACTTCACCTCTTTCTTTGCCATGTTGATGATTGTTTTTACCTGGTCTAGGAGTAAGGAAAGTATAGCATCAGCCATTTTTGGAGGGAGGGATTCACAGATATAGATAGGTTGTTGAAAGGCGATTTGATTAGGAGAAATTGATTAAGCAGATCTAATAAAATGAACAGGAGTTGCACCGCCGTTGGTTTTTTTTCACA